TATATATATATATATATAATATACACGGCACACACACATATTATGTAAACAAAAACTTTTATTTTGGATGCGATTACTTGTTTGACAGCACTAATTAAAAGTCCTTTGAAATTTCAGTTGATTGTGTAGTATATACATTTTTTTTTTTAATTAGGATGAACTACACAGCGTATGATTTTGTTACTAGCATGTCCAGTTTTCCTGTTTATGTGCTCAATGCTGTAACAAATCAAGCACAACTAGCTTTTGAAGAACGTATGTGGTCAGTGCAGCTAAAACCATGGAAACAGAAGCAGAATCTAGAAATAAATGTGAATGTTTAGGGTTGTTGTTGCTGCATGTTTCTGTGGCTAGATGATTGAATGAACAGACCAACAGGATTCACAGTAGATTCTTCCTGACCTATTAATGTGCAAATCAACTTAACTGTTCCATGCTGGAAGTTTAGATCATGCACAAAAAGGCAGGTAGCCATATTGTCCTCCTAAGCGCTACTAAAGTACTTTTACCCTAGGAGACCCACATATTACAGTTCAGCTAATCAATAATAGGGATTGGTGGATGGGGGAAGGGTTTACAGGGGCTTAGAACAGAGTCCACTAGCTTTTAGAAGATAAACACATGTGATGTGGTCAGCAGAGAGGTGATCGTGTCTTTTTGTTTGTAGCTCTGCTTGCCCTGCGCACTGAAGCTGAATGGAAGGAGGTTAAGAAGACCGTCTCCTCACAGGTTCAGGACTCCAGCATCAACGAGGAGTTTTACAGGGTCAGTAAAGGCTGCTTAACTACCACGTGTTTAGTAGAACTTGACTTTGACCCCAATGTTGCTTGTTTGAACCCTGTTGGTGCAATCCATAAACTGGAGAGTTATGGAGATCCACTGTGACCTTTGTGACCTTGAGCAAAGCACTTAATTGCAGGTTGCACCAGGGTGACCATCCATGTAGTAAATGTACTATAAATTAGTTTGGATGGAGGCATTTTTGGGAGCTGCTTACACAGAACATGTTTTTGCGTTCCACTGCACAGATTTTTCTATGTAAACATGCACTTGACGGATATCTTTGACTCTTGCTGTAGCATCTTTTAGAGCATGTGCACATGAACACTGTGTCAAGTTAAATGAAGCGCAACTTGAAACTTGAGGGGGTCCTTTCTCATCTCAATTCTAATCTGTACCCACTCAAACTCACCCGCTATCAAATGGTCCTGCTTGTTTTTTATTTGTGTGTGTGTGTGCTCTGGCTTCGCATGTTTACATAGTTGTACACATTCGCAGATCTTCCCATTATAACAAAATGAAAAGAAAGCATACACGATGTACTGTGTCGCAATATTGGAAATATTTCTGTTTCTGTTCTTTTTAAAAAAAAATTCAGTGAGGAGTAAGCTAATAACCTATTCTTTTATTATCCTCACAGCGCGTTATGCGTTATGCTATGAAATTATTGCGGGGCAAATTAATTGTAATTTAATAATAAAAGTAACCTAATAATAATAATAGATCTAATAATAAGAATAAGAAGAATGTAACAGGCCTACATTAATTGGAAATGCTAAATACTCTTAATATTGCCAATATTTGATGCTTTTGACAATATCTCTGGCAATAGTCGACACATGATACACCGCACTAAATCGTTCCGACCGTCATTGGTCTGACAAGCCGATGTCAAAAATAGATCTGTGCATTGAGTGATGCAGAGTAAATTCAGAGTAACAAAACTACAGCAGCGACAAGTCTGTGTTGACTGCTGTGTTGACGCTGATAAGATGGCGCCGATGCTGATGGCTGCCTCCGTGGCGTGCTCCGCAGTTGTTTTTATGTTTTTGTTAGTTTGTCCTGTCTTTACTTATATCCCTGCAATCAGTTTCAACAGAGACAAATTGCTGGACATTCGGAAGTACACACCACCCGATATTTCACCGGTTTTCGATTATTCTGATGTTTTGCTGGACATTGTTGTCGGCGGAGCTGCGGCGCTGTTCAGATGCTTCAGGACGAGCAGACGGGGGAAGCGAGCCGGCGCGCTCGTCTCACATCCAGCACACTCCCTCTTTTAACTGTTGCCATCTGGTCGACGCTACAGAACACTGAGCACCAGAACGACCAGACACAGGAACAGTTTCTTCCCTCAGGCCATCCATCTCATGAACACTTAACAATAACTGTGGAACACACACTATTTATTCACTCATACACTTATTTATCTAACACTCATACTCAGTCTACACCTCAAATTTGCACATAATATACAGTACCTGTACATACAAAAACTGTCTATTGTAATATATCTGCACATACAACTGTCAATTTATATATTTTTATTCCTTATTTACTTGTTCTATTTTTTATTATCTGTGTTTTTTGTTCTGTCACTGTCATTCTGTTACACTGTGGAAGCTTCTGTCACGAAAACAAATTCCTCATATGTGTAAACATACCTGGAAATAAAGCTCATTCTGATTCTGATTCTGAATATATTTAGCAGCTTCTACAGTTAAAGATAAAGATCCTGCTCTGGCTATACTTCATAGTCATTTTGTAATAAATCCAAAAGCAAGTCATGTAAAAACGATCAAACAAAAACTAGGGAGTGGAAATGGCAAAGGAGCTAATGAGTGATTCTCTGCTGCCATCTACTGGATATTAAAGGTAATTTCATGTCATTTTCATCAGTCTTTGTTTTCCACTAGGAGACAATTTTTTTCATGTCATCTTCATGAATGAAATGGGAATCTTTAAAGTGAATTTTACTGCACAACTATAGAGTTTAAAAAAATAATAAAGGGTGTAAAATATTATGTTTAAAAATTTTTTTAAATGCATATATAGTATGCCTGTTATGTAAACTTTTCCATAACTATGATTATCAGAATACATTGCGGTAAACACTGAATCCCACAATGCATTGTGCCAGACAATCATATCCAGTATGACAACTGTCAGTTCTTTATTGACTCCTTATTCGATCACAATTTATATGCATTTTAAGCAAAATTAGATTACTATACAGAAGACGATAACTGCCCTAGTGAAGAATAAATATTTCATGCTAAGTATGCTACAAATACATTTACATATTTATGTACTTAATAAAAATACCCTGCAATTGTACTTTTAGTATGCTAAACTGGTATACTTAAAGTCTGCTAAATTGGAATAACTAATTTTGTGCTTAATGCATTTTAATTGTGCGGAAATACTACTGAAGTCCAACTAAAAATATATGCAGGTGCATCTCAATAAATTAGAATGTCGTGGAAAAGTTCATTTATTTCAGTAATTCAACTCAAATTGTGAAACTCGTGTATTAAATAAATTCAGTGCACACAGACTGAAGTAGTTTAAGTCTTTGGTTCTTTTAATTGTGATGATTTTGGCTCACATTTAACAAAAACCCACCAATTCACTATCTCAACAAATTAGAATATGGTGACATGCCAATCAGCTAATCAACTCAAAACACCTGCAAAGGTTTCCTGAGCCTTCAAAATGGTCTCTCAGTTTGGTTCACTAGGCTACACAATCATGGGGAAGACTGCTGATCTGACAGTCGTCCAGAAGACAATCATTGACACCCTTCACAAGGAGGGTAAGCCACAAACATTCATTGCCAAAGAAGCTGGCTGTTCACAGAGTGCTGTATCCAAGCATGTTAACAGCTGATATTATTCAAAGATCATACAATCCTCATCAAAAGTGACATGAAAACACATTTTTGGCTTAATATTGAGAAATAGATTTGAACTATACTTAGTATGAAATAAATGTATTTTAAATGTATTACTTTTTTACTAGGTGGATGTCACTTACTGAACTAAGCATGTGTGACAACAGTTTAGTGTACTGCTGCTTGATTATTGTTTATTGTTTGTATGTGTCCTATTTCACATACTGTTTTTAAAAATCAAAGTGTTTTTTTTTTTAATCCTTAAAGCAAATGAAAAAAACTCTCAATTAATCCCCATAATTTGAATTTAAGTTATAGGGCCATATTTACTAAACAGGGCAAATTAGCGTTAGAGAGCAATTCCATAAAAGAGCAGATGGGAAGAGAAAATTCTGTGTGTGATTTACTGACAATGCGCACATTAAAGAGCACAGACGCAGCCAGATCATTTCCATAATGACCAGCGCAATCTACCAAGAGCAGAGCAAATTACAGCCTGCTCTAAGACATGCTTTCTTTGGCTGTTAAATAATGGCGCAAATAGCAGTAATTTGACGAGTGCAAACTTTAATAAATCCCGTTGCGTGATTCATTTTAATATTCTCCTCTCATAAATTTTGTGTCTGAAAGGGAAACTCCTACGAATGCATATTCAATAAGGTCAGGTGCAAAAATAACTGTGTCCACACCTTTTCAGCGCTAATTCTTCACTGCGCATCTTTAGTAAATCCTGACAGTACTGTTTTAACGCCAAAAGACGGTTTGTGCTGACACAAGCTGTTAGTAAATCTGGCCCATAGTTTGCTTTATTTATATATATAAAAAATTTTTTTTTTTTTCTTGTAAATTCTTATTTGTCTGTATATTGTGGTGTGTGAAACAATGACAATGCTTTTTCTGCTTGTTTCTACTTTATTTTTTGTTTTTAAATTATTCAGTCATATTAAAACTATACACTTGTTTCTGTATTCAGGACAGATCAGCCATCAATCCACACTCCTTTACTGAAGGGATGAAGCTGGAAGCTGTGGACCCAGCAGCTCCCTTCACCATCAGTCCAGCCACTGTGATGAAGGTATCGTAATGGACCCTAAAGTTATCACCGCCAAAATTTGTGTAAACAGTTGTAGTTTGGATCTGTTACACTAATACTGTGCTATTACATATAGCTCTGTAATAGACAAATGTAGTGCTAATTTGGGGTTATCAACCAGAAATTACCTCTATTTTTCAGTTAGTATTCTGTCAAACACAACCTTTGCCTGTTATTAATGATGTTGGCTAAAAACAGGCCTTTAGAAGGGTCAAGAGAATTAGTCTCCTCAGTGTTACCACACATGAAGGTCAGACATTTCACACTGAAGGATGAGTGTTTTCCATAAACATGGGTGTTTTCCAGATAACTGAGCTCAGGATGAACAGGAAAACTAGTTGTAGAGCTGTGCCCTTCTTCTTAGCTCTGTGTGCTCTATTCATTTACGTGTTTGTCTGTGTGTGACAGGTGTTTAATGACCATTTTTTTCTGGTGCAAATGGACGATATGAGAGATGAGGCACAGAAAGAGGGAGGCGGACGCTCTTTCCTATGTCACAGAGACGGTCCAGGAATCTTTCTTACACAGTGGAGTCTGAAGAATGGAGTCAAGCTCAGCCCTCCTCTAGGTCCATACATTTAGCCTGCTTTTAATTGTCATATACAGTAAGGAAAGTGAAATAACACCAATGTCTAACAATTTATTAATAAAAGGACCTAACAGAAAGGAGGTCCACCCTTTTTTCAGAACAGCTTCTTTTTTTGGAATGCTGTCTTACAAGTCCTGAACTGTCTGTAGGGAACAATTGCATCATTCTTCTCGAGCAGGAAAACTTTGCCTAAAAGATCTGGTGATTGAATATGCCACCAAGCATTTCACTTCATCCTGCTGTCCATGAAACATTGGTTTTGTGGTAATGCGCACACATGAGCGAGCAGTGTCTTTACTGTAGGATGCTCTCTTGTCCTGAAAAATGGCTTAATTCGCTGGCAGTTATACTGCCCAGCAGAGCAGTCATTAGACCTAATGGCTGGTGTGGGACGGCTGGCCATGTCATTATGGATCCTTCCCCATTTTAACTAGGGGTGGAACGGTTCGCGGAAAAAAATCGAACCGTATGGTTCTCCACTCAGGGTTCGGCACGCGCTAGGACCGCGGTTCAACTTAAATCTGACAACGCATCTGTAATACGGTTTGCTATAAATAACACGTAAAACAAACAGGGTTCGGCTAATATATGTTTCTGTTGATGGATGCGCATTCTGGCTTCCCAACACATTACAACAACAGCGATGAAAAAAAAACGTGGACAAACCATTCACTCTCGTTCAATGCGAATGCCGTATGCTGGAATATGAGCATTCATTCCGTCATCACCCGGGTGCTGATAGCGCGCGCACAGGTGAGACCTGAACCGCACACATTGATAGCCTATCTGTGTTTAAGCTAAACTCATTTAAGCTTTGCCAGTTTAAACATTTAAGAGCCAGAGGACGCGAGTAGTTTTTTCTTGAGTAAAGAATAAATGTAAAGACGGAGCCCGAAAGGGGAACAGAGTCGCGTGACAGACAGTGATGAAGCTGGTATGTGTTTGCATTACACAAGCCACGGTTAAAGGGTTAGTTCACCCAAAAAGGAAAATTAGCCCATAAATTACTCACCCTCAAGTCATCCTAGGTGTATATGACTTTCTTAAAAAAAACTGAAAATCACTGTTTATTTTATATGTATCTTTACTTTACTAATTTATTTGTGCTGTTGCTTGTAGTTAGATAGATTATTCTTATTTTCTTTATTTTTATTTGACAGTATAGTTTTTGCCTAAACATAGCACATACCGCACCGCGCCGAAACCGTGACTCTAAAACCGTGATACAAACTGAACCGTGAGTAAGTTGAACCGTTCCACCCCTAATTTTAACAGCTGAAAACAGACACTGAGGCTTCAGCCAAACATAAACCCATTTGGATGAGAAATCCATTAATGCGATTCATCATTTATTTTGATCTGGTTTCCAGGTGTTTTCTTGACACCAGGTTGTGTTGATATACTGTGGTCTTAGTTTAGGATTTTGACCTCTTTGACCTCTTTGGACCTTTGTTGCTGTGAGCATTCACATATCAAAGTGTTTATTGTCAGATCTCTTTTACGCCTCACATGCTGCTAATTGCCAATCAACATATTGATTGGTTCATCATTTCAATTGCCATTGGGGCTCTGTTTGTGATTTACTTCAATGTTAAAATCTTGTTTCATCTAGCGTTTTCAGTTATTTTCTAATCTATATGTATATTAGGGAGTGAGTCATGCAGTTGACAGTTTCTCAGGTGCACTTGTTGACCTGTGCGTGTGTGTGTGTGTGTGTGTGTGTGTAGGGTTCCAAGGTCAGGACTTTGACTGGGCAGACTATCTAAAGCAGTGTGAAGCTGAAGCAGCCCCTCAGCAATGTTTTCCTCCTGTGAGTTTCTTATTCTACATATTTGGGGCAAAGGCATTACAAAAATACATTAAACACATTACAAATGCATTAAAAATGCTAATTTTACATAATTATATACCTCAATATAACTCTTTTATTGTTAACATGTTTTATATTTTTGAAAACTCATTTTAATAATAAAAAAACCTTATGAAGTACTTTGATATTATTAGTTAATTGAAGAAATTATCATACCATTTGACTGAATAATTTGACAGTAAATTGTGACTCTTAATATGTAAATATATTTTTTGTATATGTGTGTGTGTATATATATATATATATATATATATACATATTTTTATATACTGTATATTTTTTTTGAAAAAAATCTCTTACCTTCACGAAGGCTCGATCAAAATATGAAATTCTTGTAATGGCAAATCTGAATTTTCAGCATCATTACTCCAGTCTTCAGTGTCACATGATCCTTCAGAAATCAATCTAATATGCTTATTTGCTGCTCAAAAAACATTTATCTATTTGTTTCAGTGCTGCTGTATATTTTTCTGGAATTTAGTTTTTGGATTCTTTGATGAATAGAAATTAGAAATATGTTATAGCATTGAAAATGAAATGTCACTTTCGATCAATTTAATGCATCTTAATAAACGAATAAAAGTAATTATTTCTTTCAAATGATTAGAATTTATTGCAAGACTTTGACTTGCTTTTTAAATTTCCTTGTAGGACCCTTCTGATCAGTGCATTAAAGAGTCCATGATGCTGGAGGCTGTTAACCCACTCTGCCCTGAAAACATTCATGTAGCAACTGTTACCAAGGTCAAAGGTCAACACATGTGGATTCGTTTGGAAGGTGTGATGTCAACACTCTTTTTTTTTTTTTTTTTTTTTTTTTTTTTTTTTTTTTTTTTATTATGCAGTGTCTCCTTGAACTGGCTTCAGAGGAAACTAACAAAGCAGAGACCCTGATTAAAAATAGCAAGACCACTAATGGACTAATATAAGATTGGGCTTAACCCTTTATAGACATCACAGAAGGTCAGTAGGCTTATTTATCTCTCCCTCCCGCTCTTTGTTCAGGTCTGAAGCAAGCCATCCCAGAGATCATAGTTCACACAGACTCCATGGATATTTTTCCAGTGAGCTGGTGTGAGACCAATGGCTATTCTCTTCTGCACCCCTGCAAGCCCAAAGGTCAGTTTTACAGCCAAGGTGCTATGCACACAAATTGCTTCTTAAATTGATATTTATATTGGATGTTCCCTAGTAAAAAAGTAAAGAAAAAAAATATATATTTTAAATATATTTAGTTCATTGTAAGTATACTACAAATACATTTATTTATGTACTTAATAAAAATACCCTGCAATTGTACATTTGGTATACTAAACTGGTATACTTGAAGTTTGCTAAATTGGAACAACTAATTTTGTTCTTAATGCACTTTACATGTGCAGAAGTAGTGCTGAAGTCCAACTAAAGATATACTGAAGTATATTTGATTGTGCTAAAGTGGAACTATTGCAAGTATACTTCAGGTACACTTTAAATATTTAGCATTTAAAGACCGATATTATTCAATGATCATACAATCCTCATCAGTAGTGATATTAAAACACATTTTAGGCTTAATATTAAGAAATGTGCATTGTGCACAGATAGTACTCCAAATAGATCTCAAGCTATATGTCAGTAAATATGTTAATAGATTTTAACTATTAACATATATTTTAAACATATTACTTTTTTTACTAGGGTTGGCTTTTTAAGAGACATAAATTCATATTTTATGTGTTCTTTGCAGTGGAGAAACAGAGAAAGGTTGCAGTTGTTCAGCCAGAGAAACAGTAAGAAAGACACAAAAGTGTTTGAATTGAATTCAAGTACTTTTGATTATGGAAAAACACTCATTTATCTCTTTCATCACAGCCGGGTACCATCCAAAGACTCCTCACCTGATACTACCAAACAACAGATTAACAGCAGTCAGACTGAGATGGGTAGGTGCTAGATACACATCTGAACTTTTCTTCACATGCATTGCCTTCCTTGTCAGCCGTTTACACACTAATAAAAGCTCAGTGGTCTCTAACATGGTACTATTTTAATCTTGTCTGTGTCACCAACAGGCCAGGCGAATGGGAAGTACTGTTGCCCCAAGATCTATTTTAACCATCGCTGCTTTTCAGGGCCCTACCTCAATAAGGGCCGTATTGCAGAGCTGCCGCAGTGTGTGGGACCTGGGAACTGTGTCCTGGTGCTGAAGGAGGTTAGCCATAACAGACTGCTGATTTGCAGTAGTATTTAAATTTGTTCTTTCTAAATTACAAAATGTAACGAGTGAATGTTATTAATAGTACTTAAAACATCCTATTCTGCTGTATAAAACTCGAATGGAAATGTGCAAAAATGTATAATGGTGATTTTTACAGGGATCAAACCTGTTCTAAGACATGACACTAAGTGTCTGAACATAATAATAACAGGAACATGAGCAGCAAATCAGCATATTAGAATGATTTCTGAAGGATCATGTGACACTGAAGACTGGAGTAATGGTTGCTGAAAATATAGCTTTAAATTGAACTAATATTTCACATTACTGATTTTACCGTATTTGCAACCAAATAAATTCAGCCTTGGTAAGCATGAGACTTTTTTTCAAAAGCATTACAGAAAAATTTAATACATTTATAGTAGTACATAATAAAAATAATAATTTTAACCACTTTAACCGCCAGATGTAAAAATCTGAAAAATGTAGTAAAATAATAGCCTAGATGTTTATGGTTGCTGTAATATAGATAGGCAGTCACAATGAATATGTGTCGTTAACTAACAGCATGATTTGTATAAAATCATATCAAAGTCACCTCTGATAACAGATCAATTTTAATTGAAATGTAGAAACATTAATTTTCTGTAAAGCTGCTTTGAAACAATATGTATATCCTTTTATCTGCATTTTGTAATAACTTTAAACATGGCTCAGAAACTGGAGTTGAACTATTCTGTTCTGTTTTGACTGTGTGTTGGTAATGCTGACCTGTGGCCTGTCCAGGTGCTGACACTGCTGATAAATTCTGCCTATAAGCCCAGTCGAGTGCTGAGAGAGCTGCAGCTGGACCAGGAGGGCCGCTGGCAGGGTCATGGAGAGACACTTAAAGCCAAGTGAGTATATGGTGCCCTAAACATTTCTTTTCTGCAGAAGTGAAGAGAAAAAAAAAACATGTCTACAGAGGTACCTGTAAAAGGTTGATTAAACAGGTTGTTGGAACAAGTTTTTTATAATTGTTTATAATAATTAACATAAATAGTTTGCTTTCAGTTTTCTGACCAGACTTTGTGCTTTACAGGTACAAAGGGAAGAGTTACAGAGCGACAGTAGCGATTGTTCGCACTGCAGACCAGGTGGCTGATTTCTGTCGGAAAACCTGCATTAAGCTGGAGTGCTGTCCCAACCTGTTCGGCCCACGAATGGTGCTGGAGCGCTGCTCAGAGAACTGCTCTGTGCTCACCAAAACCAAATACAGTGAGCCTCTTTTCTCTATTTGATCAATATCAGTACATATTAGGGGTGTCGAAATGAAATGTTGCATCGCGATGCGGACGTGGACGATTCTGCATCGATGCAGTAATAGACCATAATCGATTATAGCCTTCTGACGTCATTCACATGCCACATGCGCGCGCGAGTATTAAAAATGCACTCTCTATTTTAAAATCTGAGCTTAGCTTTTTCCCACACATGGCACATGTGCGCGCTAGAGACAATCGCGGCGGGCTTCATTGCACAGGATATGCGCTGTGAGACATGTGTGTATTGCTTGACTGTGCTTCCATTGGCTGTAATTTTAGTCTTTTACTTTGGATGTGCTTTCGTTTCTGCCGTTTGGAATGCAGTAGCCTACGTATTAGATGCATGTAACTCACGTACTGACAGACTTTCACGTGTGCTTTGTGCTTCTCCTGAAGCTCGCGGCTGCGGTTAAATGCACTTGCATCTACTTTTATGATACGAAATTGATGTAAACAATCAGTTATGTTTTCAGGACAAAACATCTGATATGTCCAAATAGATCTGTGCATTAGTGTGAATGCAGCCTATTAAAGCTGCCACTGTCTATGATCTCATCAGTAATAATCAAATGGCAAAAAAAGAAAAACCCATAACTATGATTAGCCTATCTGTAAACTTTCGGATACTTAAAGCACTCCCAGATAATGAAAGTGCTTTTTGTTTATCCCTTGTATTTTCCCCCTTTATTACTTTGTATATGCTGGTATGTTTTAAAAGCTATATTTACTTTTAATTCTTAACAATAATTAATCAATTATATATTAATTAATATAATATTAATAATAATTATTATTAAGTAGCCTGCTTATATAATTTAATAAAACTGCACAAAATAAATTAGATATAATCGTGATGCTTCGTGATATCGAATTGAATTGAATCGTAGACATTATAATCGTAATCGAATTGAATCATGAAACCAGTGCCGATTCACACCCCTAGTACATATAGGAGTTACATAGGAAAACACTCCCATGTCTCATTTAACCCCAAAATCAATGAGGACTCACAACATTTTCAATACCATAAAGTTATTTTTTTTTAATTATAACTCCTATTTTATTTTTATTTTTTACAGTATTTGTTTTTAAGTTGTTTTGTAATAATAATATAGTAATAATAATATATATGCTTTGCAGCGTTTAATGCTGATTGTGATCTATAAACAGTTTTTTTTTTTTACATTACAGCAATAACTGTTGTGGGTTTTTTTTTATTATATATATATATATATATATATATATAGATATATACATTTTTTTTTGTTTAATCTTGTATGAAAAACAAACAATGACCCGGACAAATTCACCCATGATTCATTTAAATTTCATGATAGTATAAATGATGTGTTCTACTTTACTTTCTGTTTAGAATGGCTCTGTAAAACTAACAGTACCTGTTTTATAGCATATTACTATGGGAAGAAAAAGAGCAGGCGTGTGGGCCGACCTCCCGGCGGACACTCCAACTTAGAGGGAGGTGTGAAGAGACGAGGCAGGAGGAGGAAGAGGAGGAAGCAGCTCTTCGTCCACAAAAAGAGACGTTCTTCTGCTTCAGTTGACAACACTCCGGCAGGTTCCCCTCAGGTAACAAACGCAACATTGGACTGCAAAAATCTGAGACCTCTAGTGAAAATGCTTCTATTTTGCATTTTTCTAATTCAATACAAATGCTTCTAATTATAAACATTATCAGCATAACAATTTATGTAATAAGATAAAGTATTTAGTATTACATTTTGAATGCCACAGATTTTGTGTTCTACAAATAGTCCAAATTCGTAAACATTTTTGCTTTATTTTACATCATAATGCTTTACTTTTAGATTATCTCTAGGTTTAATTAGACTCTTGAACCCAGATTTTCAGATGTTTGGACCACACTAAATGCAAATCAAATATATCCAGAATAACTGCTCAACAAGAACCATCTTCCTACATCTGTTTTAATGTGGTCATTAGAATGTGAAATGCACAATCTGGTGAAACATTTGCACTCGGAGTAAATGCCATTGCCATTTAGATTCAGCCCATGAGCAGAATTCAGATGTGTCTACCATCAAAATCAACATCTTGGCCATTATTATAAAATATATGTAAGTTAAACCAGAATGAGCATTAAACTGGATCTACAAATCTACTAATGTCACTGTTTGGTCTTACAGGGCAGTGGTGATGAAGAAGATCTGGATGAGGATGACTCTCTAAGTGAAGACACGGGCTCTGAACTGCAAGACGAGCTGATGGATGACTCTGAATATTCAGAGAAGAAGTCACAGCCCCCCACCCCCTCCCCTTCCCCTCCAGAAACCCCCCGTCCCACACGCAGACGGCGCAAAGCTCGCTCACCATCCTGCTCGGATGATGAGAACAGACCTCCTTCACCCAAGGTAACACTGGGGTTTCTAGAACTATTAGACAATAATGTAATATTTAATATTAATTTGTAGCAGTGATTCTTAACCATGGGGCTGGGGCCTACTTGGGGGCATCAGCACACTTCCAAGAGGTGGTAAAATTGCTAAAAATTATTTAAAATAAGAATAAATATGCTTTAAGCTAAAACAACTAAAGATCAAGATGTAAGCTGACATAGTTATTTTTATTGGTTTCTGTGGAAAAATGGAAAGCAGCTTTCAGCATTAAAACTACAAATATCATGGGGCCCTAAATCTCATTTTTGAGAGGCCTTGAAGTGAGAAAGTATACAGTATACTTTTAACATTTAGGAATATAACTCCATATTAACTAGGTTTTGTACTGTTTTGTGTATGATAACACATAATGCAGTACTGACTGTTTTGCTGTCTCTTCTGAAGAGTCCACGTACTGAAGTTCCTCCGAAGCTGTGTTTGGACAGCAGTCCACTAGAATGGAGTGTCACAGATGTTGTTCGTTTCATCAGGACCACCGATTGTGCTCCACTGGCACGCATCTTTATGGATCAAGTAATGAACACGCACCTCTAATATATCCACAGCTCCAGTACATTAAAGGGGTCATATGATGCGATTTCAATTTTTCCTTTCTCTTTGGAGTGTTACAAGCTCTTGGTGCATAAAGAAGATCTGTAAAGTTGCAAAGACTAAAGTCTCAATTGTTTAATATATTTTACATTTTAATTTGTTTCTGTGATGGCAAAGCTGAATTTTTAGCAGCCATAACTCCAGTCTTCAGTGTCACATGATCCTTCTGTTATATTTGATGCTCAGGAAACTTTTCTTATTAGTTATTAAGGTTTCAGAATTCTTTGATTAACAGAAAGTTCTAAAGAACAGCATTTATTTGAAATAAAAATATTTTGTTTTACTGATTTTTGATCAATTCAATGAATCCATGTTAAATAAAAGCTGCAATTTCCTATACATTAGAGAGTTTACTTAAAATAGCGCTTAAAAATATGCAATTATTAATTATTACAATTACAGACCCCACAACATCCCTTATATTTAAAAAAAAATAATAATAATTATATATTAAATTGTGGTTCGATGGTTGGGAATAAAAATTGATTAAATGGGTTAAATAAATGCATTTCACGATAAAAATGCATAACTTTTGCTGTTCCGTAAGTAAATTCTAAGATTTATTAGAATTTAATGAATTGCACCTGCTGCTACAAGGGATTTTCTTAGAACTACATATCCCATCATGCTTTAGTACGACGTGACATAGTGATGACGCAATAGATCGTCGCGTAAATGAGTGTAAAGGGCACCTGAATACATTGGAAACATGTATATCAAGCCGTAATACGTTCTAGTATAGATTATGGGTGTGCATTGTATGGTGCTGCAGCAAAATCAGAATTAAAGAAACTGGACAACATACAGTCTAGAGCACTTAGAATCTGCTGTGGAGCAATAAGGTCAACCACTCTATATGCTATCAGGGTTGAAACGGGAGATGCCATTAGATTTAAGAAGAGAAAAGCTTGCGATGATGTATTCGGGTGATGTATTTACAGGGTAGTAATAAGAATCATTGAACACACATAATTTTAAATGATTGTTGGGAATATAAAAAGAATGGAGGAAATAGTTTTGGATGGAAATATGAACAGTGGGTCAAGGATTGTGGTTTGGAGAATGAAGTAATCTGTCCCAACAAGCCATTAAATTGGGTATCGGTATGGAATATTCCTGAACCTATTGTTGAAATGAGATTGTTGGAGGCCCAGGAAAAAGCAGAAGAAAGATATACTAATAGTTATGAAATCAATGTTTTTATGAGATAATTTTTTTATACAGATCAATACAGATGGATCTAAAGACCCAATCAAACAAAAAGTGGGAATAGGAGTGTACATTCCAAGATTTAAGACAAAAATAAGTTTAAGGTTAAGTGACAAATTGATTAACTGCTATAATAGTAGGATTGCAATGGGTAGAACAGATTAAGCCAAATAGGATTGTTATTTGGTCAGATTCTTCATCAGCTCTTAAAAGTAGCCTATACTGTCAACAAAAACTGATAGAGAAGACCTGCTAGTAGAAATGTATACATTACTGTTCAGACTGAAAATAGAGGGTATAATTGTATACTTTTGTTGGGTAGCCTATATCGGGATAGCAGGGAATGAAACAGCGGATAAATTAGCAAAAGAAGCTTTAAAGAAAAACTTGGTGGATGTTACCTCTGGGAAGAAATGAGATAAAATCAGTAATTAACAGGAAAATAATAAGAATATGGCAACAAAGATGAGAAAATAACAGCACAGGTAGGTGGTATTATAATAATGTCAAATCAGTTGGGGGAAAAAGAACAGTTTTATGGAAGGCACAGAAAGGAAGAAGTAATGATTTCTAGATTAAGGATGGGTCACACAGGACTAAATTCAACACTTGCATTAATGGGGAAGCATGAAAATGGTATGTGTGATGAATGTGGTGTTTTTGAAACAGTAGAGCATGTGCTCTTTAAATGTAGTAAATATGATGATGAGCGTAACAGTCTTTTTTTTAGCAATATAAGGAACAGGCCAGTGAGTGTCATGCACCTTCTGGGAAAGGGTTTGAGTGATAGTCTGGGGTGGGTGGGGCATTACAATTATGATTATTTATTTTTTTAATAGCAATACAGATTCAGCTCCCATGTGCGCAAGATATACAGTAGGTGGCGGTAATACTCCTAAGGAGTGAACGGCCATTGAACACAAAGAAGAATACATTGGAAAAGGAAGTGTCCTGCCTTTACGGAGAATATTTCTCTTTTCCAGATACGTATGTGACTAGTTTGGGCGCCGACCTTCTTGAATCTGAGCAGATTGAGAATCAGCTATTTTCTTGAAAGCAGCGGTGGCGGGTTTTTCCTCAGATGGTTTGCTAGCAGGAGCGCCTTTGACCGGACTCTCGCTACAAAACAGCAGAACTACCAAATCAGCCGCGTAATATTTGCCTTTCAAAACGAGTTATAACGGGAAGTAAAGGTTTAAAGGCCTTATTTATTGAGTTAATTTAACCGTAACCGTTTAACTGCTTTAATTTAACCATAAAGCCACAGTATTTTATTCTAGCAGCTAACCGCACGCACTGTACAATAATATAACCGATAAATGTCTCCATGACAACGCGTGTGTGTTGTAGTATTGAGAGCATCAACCGCTACCATTACACATCTGAGTCTGTAGCATGTTTACTCGATGCTGAAGGAGATGTTTATACAGCACAACCTGCTGACAGACATTAGGTAGCTCTGGATAGCGACGCATCGAGGTCCAGTATGAAACACGATACATCTGCGCTTCAGTAACCGTGACTGGAGGCTCAGGAGAGCCTTCATTATGTACGCTAGCTGTGTCATCGTCCTGTCGATCATCTCCACCTCTCGAGACTGATATTTTCTGCCTTTTTTTGACTCGTGATCCACCAAGTGTTGCACAATGGCGGGTGTTGGGGTCAGCGTGCTGTCGCAGGGTCAGCTGCCGTCTGCATCCTCCAACTCCTCGCCCACTGATCCTGATACCCGGGGCTGCTCAAGCGGGGACTTCATGGACTCCTTTGGCATCTTCCTGCAGGGCCTTCTGGGAGTGGTGGCCTTCAGCACCCTTATGTGTAAGTATAGGGTAACTGTCTTCATTAAAGGAGTAGTTAATCCCAAAAAATGAAAATGTACTCCCCCCTCAGGCCATCCGAGATGTACATGAGTTTGTTTCTTGATCGGAACAGATTTGGAGAAATTTAGCATTACATTTCTTGCTAACCAAATAGATCCTCTTAAGTGAATGGGTGCCATCAGAGTCCTAACAGCTGATAAAAACATCACAGTAATCCATACGACTCCAGTCTATCAATAACCATCTTGTGAAGCGAAAAGCTGCATGTTTGTATTATCCAAATCCATCATGAAACAAATATTGCAATGTTTTATTAGCTGTTTGGACTCTCATTCTGATGGCACCCATCCAGTCATTTAATCCACTTAAACGAGTCCCTATAAACTCGCATTCCTCTGCCTCCACTTTTGAGCACAACGGCCACATCTCAAAATCTATTAAACAACGATGCATTGGACCAAGTTGTTGCCCCACATTTTTTTCAATAATCTTTTACACTCAAATGTGTGTACACGCATATGTCATAATATGGATAAACGGCTCTGTCTGTACTTTTTTTTTTGCAACATTAAAGGAACTTGATCAATTCAGGTTGACTCATTGAACACTTAAGAGTTTGGTCCTAGAAGTGCGCAGGTCAAGGCATGTTTGTGAATCATTCAGTGCAGTGCTGCACCTGCATGCTCACCACTGTCAACCTGACACAGTACTTTAATTAAAGACTCTGTGAGCACATTTAAAGGGTACATAATGTTGGATCTTTGGTTTTTGCTTGGCCACACCCCCTCAGATCTTCTTAACTTGTTTAGGTCATTTACAGACCCCTGGTCTTTGGGCATGTGTGTACTTGCATACACTTCTTACGTCTCATTGACATGAAAGAATATGTGTCGGGATGTTCATACCAAGAACGATGACTATAAAGTTTAAAAAAATCACTCTAAATATAATGGAGTCAAAACCACAACAACAACACAGGGGAATGATATCGTTGAGATCACTTTGAGCCACTTTTTTCTTTAAAAAAAAAAAAAAATCTAATTTCATTCACTAATAACCAATAGATAATTTTGTATTTGTATGCATAAGAGAACTTCTCACAAAAAATAGAATAGACTTTATTAAAGCATGTTTTAAAGTTGAAGATAGGTTTTTACTAGTTGTCATTGTTTTTATGACCCATCAAGTGACCCAGAGATCACCTGACTCTTAGGTCTCTTAACTCAATAGAGTTAAAAAAAAAACACTACAACAGTCCAAAAGAACAGGGTAACCCAGAGGAATATACGAGATGTGTGAAATTGTAAGTTATGTGTCATCATCTCTCAGTGTTTATGTGAGCTGTAATTGTAAAGAGTAAAAGATTGTGTTCAGAGGACACAGTTAATAGCTGTACACAAACAAACAGCCATTGTGTGAAACAGGCTGCCCTTTATTCGTGTGAACCATTGGGTCACGTTTGGAAACTAGGGTGGCTGCACTAGCGGTTTCCACAGCCTAAAAAGCAGCAATTCTCACTGCTGCTTTTGAAGCAACTGCCAGCAATTACATTTGTTTTTATCTTTATCACTGTCCTCTCCGATGCAGCTTACAATGTTTTTGTTGTCAGAATCTAAAAATGTATATAAAAACATAAACGTACAGTTCATACATTCAGTGCACCTCTTTAAAATAATATTTTTATATTTTGGGGGATATAAAGAAAAAATATAATAAAGAAATTTGCATTATTAAAAGAATAGAAATAAAAAAGAAAACATTAAGTAGTTTTTTTTTTTGCAGTCTTTTATTATTTTTTTCTTAGGGAAAAATAAAATTTTGTAATGACTGCTTCAATTGCGCATTGTGTTTTGGTTTTGCATGTGAATGCAGAAAACTCTTTAAACCTGTGATGGAGCAGTTCCTCATTCGGCTCTTCCCCTTTTGAAATGTTAATCTCATGTATCATTTATTGGCCTCTGTGTTTTTGTAGCACTGTATCTGATAGAGCCAGGAAAGAGGTTTTTAGCATCAGTAGCACTACCCCCATGTGGCAGACATTATTGATCACCCCCATTTTTCCTGCTTCCGATATGAAAGCTTGTGTTTCTTCTCCACAGTGAAACGCTTCAGGGAGCCCAAGCATGAACGGAGACCCTGGAGAATCTGGTAAACCGCCATTTTGTGTCATTAGCAAGCCCTAGATCAGGACTATTCAATTAGTTTCATTTGAGGGCCGGATTATTGAATTGAAAATTTGAAAGGGGGTGGGGGGCATCCCGATCACTCTCTGTGGGGCCTATAAAATTAGAAATTAAATTGAAATGCATATTCAGCAGTAAAATGAAGTAACATTACCCACACCAACATCTATAAAAGGCTAACATTAGTGCTGCCTGTCAGTCGATTAAAAAAATTAACGAATTAATCGCACATTTTTCTGTAATTAATCGTGATTAATTGCATATTAATATATTGTCATAATTTCACATTGAACCTCCAAATTAATGTAGAAACAACATAAAGGTGGTATATTTAAAAAATGTGTT